ACTCTACTATATATATATATATATATATATATATATATAGAGTATATTATACATATATATATATATAATATATATTATATATCATAAATATTATATATATTATATACATATAATATAAATCTATTCATCCAAGTGTACACGCGTCTCTTAAGAATATACTCAAGCTATGAGATGAGTGGATATTCTAAATATATTCTGAGAAAATATAAGTGACATGTAAATGTTCTGAATATATCCTGAAAATATACGGCTGAAGTACCATGCAAATGTACGAATTTTCTCAATATATACGTGATAAACATGATTATAGTACACATACATTCGACAGAATATATAAAAAATTAAAACATTTTTACATACAACATTTATACAAGTTTTTTTAACTTATAAATTTAAATGATATGTTAAAAATAAAAATATAGCTTTCTGAATCCCAGATTACGTGCAATAAAAAAAAATTGAAAGAACCTAATTTATTTGTGAACGATCTCATCTCATGCAGATGTCCATATAGCAATCAAATGTTCTATTCATAATATCTATTAAGATGAGAGATATCTTTATAGTTGTTTGTCAATGGGAAATATTCGTGGCGATCATTTAATGGATCATTATCCATTCATCAAATGCTATTCAATGCTCACATATGTACAAAATGCAATATGCGTTTTTATTAACACCAATAATTTTTTTCAACAACGTTTCACATTTATCTGCACGGAAAAAAATAGTTTGGTTGGCTGGATCAAAATTCTGTTTCAAAATGAACGAGCCAGAAATGCCAATTGAAATTATCAAATTTCTATTCAAATTAATTCAGAATTCTTATTTAAATCAGCTTCTTTCTTTGATTTAAATTGAATTCTGATAACTTCAAATAAAATTCTTTATTCGTCCATTTTGAAATAGAATTTTGATACAGCTAATCAAACTATTTTTTCGTGTGTCGAAATATTAGGCGATGTTATTTGTTTTAGAAAATTATAATATACACAATATAATTTTCTCGACAAACAGATGTAAATACATATATGTGTATTAACTTTAAGATAATTAATTTTAATATCCAATATGATAAAAAAAAAATAGTAAATTACCGACATAATTGCTTGTCGATAACTTATCAATTGTATATTTTCAATATCAACAATTGATTAATCATCAATTATAAATAAATAGTTGATAATGATTAATATAATTTTTTAGTTATTTTTATTTATAACTAAATAATTACAAATTAAGAACTTTAATTCTTAGATGTAAATAAAATACAAACAGAAGAATTAATAAAAAGTTTACAATGATCTAAATTTCAAGAATATGGGATTTCGATAATTCTAAATCAAGAATAATTAATTTTTTATTTATTTTTTTAAATTTATTTTTTTTCTTTTTTATAAGCAAGTCTCCTCTGGGCAGCTGTATTACTTATTCGAAACGATTGTGAGCGATTTTTTCTGATTGGCGATTGTTGCGCATTCATGAGAATAAGCCTAACCGCATCTTTCTCATGAATGCGCCGACCAATACCAGCCGCCATTTTGACGTCAAATGGCGTATGATGCTTGGTAGGTTTTGATGAGTGAATTACAATTATTGGAATAATCTCGCACTCAACGAAATTTGAATCATGGCGGAGTATTTAGCATCTATCTTCGGTACCGAGAAAGACAAGTAAGAGAAACTCTTTCAATTTGTTACAAATTACGACGAGACAAGAGCAATTTCTAATCTAACCTGCATCTTCTTTTTCTTTTTTTAGAGTAAACTGTTCTTTTTACTTTAAAATCGGCGCCTGCCGCCACGGTGACCGGTGCTCGCGTATTCATAATAAACCTACATTCAGTCAGGTATGTAGTCCTTTAATTAGATGATTAGTAGCCTAGTCTTTCTTCCTATTGTTTTATACACGACTACAATCACAACTTTTAATTAATTTTCAATTTCTAAGATCCATTTCTATCAATACGATTTAACTTTAATTTTAATTTAATTTTTTATATCTTGTTTAGGTTTAAAAATTAAAGAAAAATAATGAGTAAATTTTAACTTGAAAGTAAAGTTAATTTATATTAATATACAATGAACATAAATATATCTATGCAACAGAAATGGATAACTTCTATTTAGTATTTATTGTTAGTTTTTTTTATATGTTTATAATGTGTTTAATAATTCTTTATTTTTTCAGACATGTTTGCTTCAAAATTTATATGTAAATCCCCAAAATTCTGCCAAAAGTGCAGATGGCTCTCATTGTAAGTAGATTACAGCTTGTTCTATCAATTTATTTGATATTTTTAAACTTCTTTCCAAATGTTATTTCTTCCTGTTTTAGTGGTTGCAAATGTATCGGATGAAGAGATGCAAGAGCATTATGATAACTTCTTTGAAGATGTTTTTGTCGAGTGTGAGGACAAATATGGTGAAATCGAAGAAATGAATGTGTGCGACAATCTCGGAGATCATTTGGTAGGCAATGTTTACATTAAATTCCGAAGAGAAGAAGATGCAGAGAGAGCTGTGAATGATTTGAACAATCGTTGGTTTGGCGGTAGACCAGTATATGCTGAGCTTTCACCAGTGACGGATTTCCGAGAGGCTTGTTGCCGCCAATACGAAATGGGGTAACTTAATATACAAGACATTTATTCATAGAAACTTGGAGGATAAAATCGATGACATATACTTATATATACTCTTGTATTTTTTCTTCATTTCAGAGAATGTACACGATCTGGATTCTGCAACTTCATGCATCTGAAACCCATCTCGCGTGAACTACGTCGTTACTTGTATAGTCGCAAGAAGAGCGGCAGGGGACGATCTAGATCGCGTTCACGATCACGTGGTCGAGATCGCAAACGTCGATCGCGATCTCGTGACAGACGATCAAGATCCAAAGATCGTCGAAAGAGAGACGATAAAGGTAGAGACGGTCGGTCTGGAAGATACTAGAGCATTATGTTTGTACGGAGATATTTTCATTCCAATCTAATATCATTCAATGGAAAGAGAACGAATTGAACGTGAAAATCTGAACGATAAACTGTCCTCTTGAGTACATACCGCGGACAAGAAGTATGTTTTATTAATATATTTGTATAACCGATAGAGAATTAGTATTCCTTCAGTGCTATGTCTTGCGTTGCCTGTTAATAAATTAGTTATTCCGAAATAATCGAGCAATGTTCTTTTTTTCATGCATTGAAAAAATATATGCATTGAATAAAATATAAGCATAGAAATATATATATATTTTATTTCATATATGTTCATATTCTCATATAAATTATCGAACTTAAACGTAAATAGTGAAAAACGATGTACTACGTTAGATTTATGAATACAACAAAAAAAATCAAATGCCTTCTCATATCAGTTTTTCGGCGAAAAGCGTGGTATAATCATTCACATACGCATACATACACGTACACACGTATCGTTACTAAATTACCTTTTTTTAAAAAGAGTAATATCGTTTCTTATCAGTTATCTAGATTGTTTTTTTTCATCCAAATATAAACTGTATTTAGGAGACAATTACATTCTTCCTCGTAAATATTGTTATGTTAATAAAATGTAAATCGTATGATATATAAAAAAAAATACACATCATATAAAGAAGCCTATCATAAAATATAACAATTGTCAAAAGGGGCAAATCAGAAATGAAAATTTATTGATAAAAAAAAATTGCGTCAAATCATTATGAAATTATTAATTTGGTTTTTTTTTAATAGATATTAAGTTATATGAGAAAACATAGTGATAGATGGGTTCAGCCATAAAAATTATGTATACAGCTGCAAAGTAAAATCTTTTTTTTCTTTATGAAAGTATAGATATATACTTTACAGGATTTAAACAAATAATCCAAAGTCCACCTAATTCAATGCAGGTTGGTGCACATGTACACTTATGCTTGTTACAACATCGCGCGTATAAAATTATGATATGCGGATAAACATGATTGATGACAATAATGAGAGATGCACGCAATAATCATTTTATTCTAATCAATATTAAATCTACCGATAGCTGTATTGCTTCTTACTCGAAATGTCGAGAATTCGCCAACGATTCGAATTTTATCGCCAGTCATTCAAGTCGCAACGTCACTGCAAGTATCACGGATGCAATTACCGCGGTTTCGATATACCTTTCTTTTGTACAATTTCTTCCTTCCATGTATATCACTTTGCCTTCTTTCCATATCCATCAAACGTCGTATCGCGATATCAATTGTCCTGGCGGTATAAGGATCATCGATAAGGAAAAAACGATGCCAAACGATAAAGATTTGCGTGATGTTTACGGACTTCATAATATGCGTTACGCACGCGTACGCGTATATATATATATATATAATTCCTTCTTCCTTTAATAACTATTAACAAGTCTTAGCATTATACAGTGTAAAAGTTGTATATTACCAAGATGGTACAATTGAGTCCGACGGAAAAAGATGCATCTTCGTGGTTTATTCCCATCTGAATTTCTCCAAAATATACTGTATACAATATTTTAATTGTACTTATATATATTTATATATATATATACAGTCTCGTGTACGTGTATCTTGTGTGTATATATATATGTATATGTGTATGCGAGCGCACTCGATTTCTCCTGATAGAATAAGAAATTGAGCAGTACGCGACACAGTCTAGCTTTATCTTAGAAGATACATTATATTTTTTTTATCTTTTTTCTTTTTTAAATGTTTCTTAAATTTTATTTTCCCTCTCGTGTTTTACGATAATATAGTATTCCAAACGTTTCTCAAGTAATTCGTATTTAAACACAGAGGTATTACTCGATTAAATCTTTCATTAATTCTCTTAAGACAGCTGACTGTCCGTGTCATGTGTAGCCATTACACATCACTTGTACGCGCCATAAAAGTATTTACATTGTTTAGATTAATAATTAATGGTTACGATACTTCAGTAGTAGTGTTCAACGGGAAAGATACGAGATCAGTATTTAGGGGGGCTAATCGGCGTAGACAATGAACTGTTGATTGTCCACATCTGCAACTTCAACTTGGACAAATTGAGGCTGTTGAAGTTGAATTTGTTGTACTTGTCTTCCAATCGCGTTCCGTGACCTGAAATTACACAAGATCAAATAATCAATTTCATCGCATTTCGTCTATCTTTTAAATTATGATCGAATTATCCCCATCTTTAAATAATTTATTTCTATAATGACCTAAAAATCCATCAATCTCTCTCTATGCGGAAGCAGAACTTACTTGGCCTTTGCATGAGTCAATATGTGCGACTTGAGGTTCGTTGATTGCGCAAACTTTTTACTGCATCCATCAAACGGACACACATACGGTCGATCGCCAGTATGGATTCTGACGTGAGTGCGAAGGTTGAAATCCAGACTAAACCTCTTGCCACATCCCTCAAAAGTACATTGAAATGGTTTTTCGCCTGTGTGCACGAGCTGATGCCGTTTAAGTTTAGAACTTTCGACAAAAGCCTTGCCGCACTCCGCACATACATGCACACGTGGTCCATGCGTATGCAAGTGTTTGCGCATTGCACTGTTATCTCGGAACATCTTAGTACATCCCTTGTGAGGACATGCGATCGTTCGATCCCCGCCGTCCATCACTGGTGGTTTGCGCACTTTCAACTTGTGACCAGGTCGAGCAAACTCGGCCAATTGCTTTGGATCAGAGAGGTCTAAGCCAGGCATGCCATCGGATACTGAACTGTTCGAGTTGAACTTGGTATTAGACTTGCCCGTCATGTATTCCGTATAGTCGGGATCTGGTTCTGGATTCGAACCTTCATCTGGAACATCCACATCCAGGTCAGGCGCTAATAGGATGTTACCTTTAACAGCAATAAACGGAGAACTTTGCCAAAAAAAGCTACCATAATTTTTTAATTTTCTTTTGTCTATATTATATTTGTCTATTATATTTTTATAATTATGCATGATCTATGAAATATTCTACACTTGAGTAAATATTTTATATCTATATGAAATTATACTCTGGCAAAAGAAAACAAAATGAACATTATAAAATCGTTGGAAGAAACATTTAAGGAAAAGGTATATAATAAAATTGCAAAATGATTTGACAAATTAAATTAAAGCCAAGATGAATCTGCGATTTAAAATTTTCTATAAGAATTAAAATTGAGATATTCTGTGTACATTTTAATTACTTGTTAATTTTTTCAAAACAAAAGTATTAAATTTCTTCGAAATCATTAAGTATATTTAAACATATTTTAACATAATTTTGTTTTATTTAAAAAAGAAATAGATATATTTCTAGTGAATAGTGCGGAATAAAGATAAGAAATATATGCCGGAACAAACACGATACCCGTTATATCACTGTGTTTTGAATAACAACCTTTGACATTTCTTTCTGACAAGATTATTGAATGATAATGACGTAACTCGATACAAAACGTGTTTCTCGCGCAAAAAGCACGACGGACCGTAACACAACAGGAGAGTCATTACAAATCGTTTATTCGAATTTCATTATCAACCCGTTTCTTTAATACACCCGATATATGCGCTCGCGGTGCAGCATGGATCCGCCGTGACGTCAGAAGCCGAAGCGTCGCTTGGACTTCTTTTGTACTCCTCGAGATTCATAGCGTTCTTTTCGAACGAGATGCGACTAGCTTGATCGCTCACTCGCTCGCTCGCATATTCCAATTTCTCTTTCTTTTTTAAAAACGTAAAATTTTAATAGCGACATATGCGAATGACGCCAATGGAACATTCGAGTGTCGCGATGCTCCGCGACGTCGCTCGGCTCGTTCGATACCGTCGCCGCCATTTGCTTCGCGGCGGACGGGCGGGCGATCCGCCGCGTAAAAGAGGCCATTTTCAAAATATGGCTGCCCCCGTAGGGCCAAGCATAATGGCGTTCGCGTGATCAAAACAAACAACACGGCCTGTCAAGCCGGCTGGCCCGGGAGAACGACACGGCGGGTTCAGGTCGCCGATTTCTCCGCGTGGCGATCGCGCGCCCGTGCCCGCGACGCAATATCGATCCGAGCGTTGCACCGGAAGTGCGTACCCGCCTGTGTGCGTGGAGGATACAACGGGTCGCCAGAAGGAACGAAAGAGAGAAAGAAAGAGACGGAAATAGAGACCTTCTGTCCCTTTGGATAAAGGCTCGCCTAGAAAAATTAAAAGATAATAAAAAAGGGGAAAAAAATAAGAAAGAGGAGGAAAAGAATGAAGGAAGTAGAAATGCCAGAGATCCGGAGTGTAAACGAATGCGTGTGTGCGTGCGTACACGCGCTGCGTGTACGACCGTACACTCACCGTCGTCCGTGCCAGACGCCCACATCGTTACCGAGAACTCGCCCTCGAGCGTCTTGATCTGCACCTGCTTCTGCTCCCACTTCCTAGCCTTGGTCTCGGTGGCCATCTCGCCAAAGATTGCGTGGTCGGACGCGCGGAAACGCGCCCCGCCGCTCTTACGCGCCTTCTTCGCGGCCTTACGCGACGGCCCGGGACTGGACTCGACATAAATGTCGTTGTCCGGCACCGGGATCTGGTCGTACACGCTGAGCGGATCCGCGCCTACGATCTCTTCCTGTGTCTGCAGTATGATTTCCTCGCGGCCCGGCTCCGGCAGCGGTTGCAGCGCTATCATCGGCTGCCCGTCCTCGCCCTCGATCGTCGTCTCCACTGTCTCGCACGGTATCTCCACTGGTATCGCCTCTATCTCGACCTCCTGAATGTCCGGTTGAATCTCCACTTCGGTTATTATGTCCGAGGACGCCATATTAATCTCCGGCGGCGACGCCATGTTAACTCACCAAAATGGCTGGCCTGGCGACACAGGGCACGGCGGGGACTCGAGCGTCCCGCGGCTCCCACGTGATCAAAAAGTCCACGTGTTGTCCCCTAGCTAGCGCCAGCGGGCGCTGCGGCCGCGGCGCCATCTTGGGGACGCGACGGAATGCTCTGACGAGGCGTGTTTCTCTTTTACTTTTCTTCCTGTTATTTCGCACTCGCGTTTTTTGCGTTTGTAAATCGCGATTTGGAAGTCGCGCCCGCGCCTCGATGTCGATCGTCGGCGTTCGAATCGTTTGATCGGAAGGCGGAACGTGTCCGTCGAGAGAAACGTCACTGAGGTTAGGAAGCGTCCTACGGTCATCGCTACGCGATGGATCTGTCAAAGGTGCCGAATGAGAAGAAGCTGCATCTTTGTAAATGGTACTTCCGCGGTATGTGACATTCGCTGACGTCGCAGCGCATTATTTATACTTAATTTTAGCATTGACGCTTTTTGATTGTATTAATGAAATTAATACAACTTATGTCCATTTCTCAATATGAATGAACTTTAACTTTATTTAACTTTCGTCTTTTTTAGTTCTAAAAATGAAAAAAAAAAAGAGTAAATTAAACTGAGATTATAAATTTACATTGATAGAAATAAATGTTAAATTCCAAGTGCAATTGTAAATTTAATAATAATAATGCTTCAACAATTAGTTTTTGTCATTGGTTTCTTTCCTATTGTGTTTCTGTCTTTTAGTAACATTTGTATTTTTCTTTACCTTTCCTTGTACACATCTTAAATAAGAAAGATTAAAAGAGTATGATCAAAAATTATTTTTATACAAACTTATCAATATATTCTTTGTTACAGCTGGCTTTGCACTGCTGCCATTTTTATGGGCTGTGAATGCGGTTTGGTTTTCGAAAGAGGCCTTTGTAGCACCACCTTATGAGGAGCAGAAGCAGATAAAGAGATGTTAATATTCAATCAACTTATTATTATTTACTACTATGAATTCTAAAATTCTTTTTTAAATGCATATTGCATATTTTCTTTCAGATGTCATCTTTTCAGCTATAGGAGCGATTATTTGGACAGCTGCCTTATTGGCTTGGATAATTGTTTTTCAAACTCAAAGAGCTGCATGGGGTGATTTTGCTGATGCCATCAGCTATATTATTCCTACTGGCATTCCTTGAGACTTTGTATCAGTACGGGATAATTTGTTGCCGAAATGTGCATTAAACAATTGTACATTAAAATTTGTAATATATTTATGTTGTAATATAATTATAATTACGAACTCACATGGTAACATTTGATATTTAGCGTACAGTAAAAAAAATAACATCTTTTATATTGTATATACAATTATTAAAAAATATCAATTTCTCGAGGAATATTTAAATTAGCAGCATAAACATCTCTGTTTAAAATTACTTACATTTAGATATACATATGTAGCACAATTATGACGAAAAATACTCGAAAATATATTATTATTTATTTTTGTACATTTAAATATCTCTCATATCTCGATCCTCATTGGAATTTTATTCGAGAAACGCTTTTTAAAGAAGGAGATATGAGCGAAATTATGAGTACGCAGATCCAAACGCATAAAAATCACATGTCTCCATTGACACAATTTGCGAATTTTGCTATGCATTCTAAATTTGAATAGTTCTTCGCCTTTGCACATACGATCTTATATCTCTGTAAACTAATCTGGACAAAAGCTGGAAATAGTAAAATACAGTAAACATATCATCGATATTATCTTCGTGTCAACGAACAAGCAAAATGGACTTACCAATAGAGCGAGCAAATCCGCACACATAAGCATGTAAAACACATTGTGCCATCCGCTCCATCGAGACACTACACCTGCCAACAATGGACCAACTGCAGCTCCAATACTACCGGTTCCATCAATAATGGCAGTCACTGTAGCTAAGGCCTTTGAATTTTCTCCTAAACTGGGATGAGTTCCCAATTCAGCCGATACCGCGGTCGTTATTAATGCATAAGGACCATTTACTAAAAGTCCTCCTATCAATAGTAATACTATATTGATGCCTAGTCCGGTATTTCCGATATAGTCATATATAAATAACTGAAATACATAATGCACATATTAAAATGTAAATCTTACATATACGTTCAAATTTATAATGCATTCTATTTAGTGAATAGTGTATTACTTAATAGCGTTTAATAAAATTTTATAAAAATAAAGAACTTATAATTGCATTTATTAATAAGCAATTCATTATTCACTTTGCGACTATTAAAAATCTATGACAAAAGTTACTCAGATTTCAAAATTTTTTGCTATTCGACTATTCTCCGTCAGCGTAATCAGGAGAAAATTTGCTCACCGCGGGAAATGCAAATCCAAACATTGCGGCACATGTCAACGCACTCATACCGCTATAATCGGAAAGAACTCCGGCTGTGATGGCACCTATTATTCCGCCAACATCAAACAATACCGACAGATCCGCACTCACAGTCGCGCTGTACGTAGCTGTAAGAAAGCTGTTTTTTATTAAAGCTGAGACAAGATTTTTTTATGTCAGTAATGAAGGAATCGTATTACAAATCGTATTAAGTACTAACTTGAAGCCTTAATGTACAACGGCAACCAATACAGGAATGTATAGCTAACTAATTTCGCGAAAAATAGCGATAAAGAATATTCGATGACACCGGGTATCTTCAGGGCTCCTGCGAATCCGATCGCACTGTTATGGGATGTGCTATGAACGCGTCGATTTCCAGGCAGCATCGGACTGGTCTCGGATCGTCCACTTGTCATATTCTTTTAGACATATAAATTACATATATTATTTATCGAATGATATTTATGCTTTGAGAAAAAGGAAATGATATCGCTATTTTATAGTAACACATTGCTGCTGAGGGTACATATCGTTCAGGAATTAATAAATCACATTTGCGCTACACAGAAAACACACGCAATCTCTTGTTGGAATAGAGTAACGCGTGATTTATGTTAAAAAATAAAACGTTTGAAGTTAAGTAAAAGTGTTATCTACATGGAAGAGTGGCATGCACTTACGTCGGCAGCAAGTTGTTCACGGTAGACACAGCGATAGATGACACGCTAGGTACAGCAGATGATTATTTATTATGGAAGTGCAAATTATAATTCTACTAAAAAGAATTAAATAATTTACTCTGGCGCTTGCATTATTAAACAAACCTAGGAGAATTAAAAGAAAGAGATAACTGTGTAATTGTAATCATGTTCAAAGTAGAAAACATGCTTACAGTTTAATTGCGACCATGCTATTACGTGTGTTAAACAACAAATAGCGTGTTACACTACAAAATTATATGCTTATTAAAATTAAAAACGGTATTATGTTACTCTATTAGTATCTACTACTGAAAAAGCGCAAAGATATTGACAATAATTAACGGATAACTTACATCCTCACTGATACTACGAGATTCGTAACCTACATCAGCCAGATCGTCGTCCGAGCTGTTTGTTACATCAATTTTTCGATATCCAAGAGATGCGGGCGGGTTATATCCTATGTCGATAGGATTCGGTATTAAAAATAGGAAGATGATGAATCCTATCAATCCCATTATCACTCCGGGCACTATGAAACTCAGACTCCAATCGGATTCGACATATGCAGCTGCGATTAGACTGCCTAATATGTTTCCCAAAGATGTATGTGAATTCCACACGCCGAAGATCAACCCACGTTTGCCTTTTCCAAACCAATTTCCTACGACAGTCACTACACCTGGCCAGCCAGACGTTTGAAAAATTCCACCTAATATCTATGCACAGAAAAGAAAGAGAAAAATATGGAGAAATATTTGCATTAATACATTTTGTAATTTATCAATAATTACATTGCTTACCTGCACGAAGACGAAATACCACAGATTATGAATATTATATGGTTTAGCAATTCCAAACAGGTAGGACGATATGCCTGATGCAAGCATACCAATGGAAAGGAAGTATCGCAGATTTACTCTCTCTGCTATGAAGCCACTATATGAAGAAAATAAAAACACAACAATTAGCTTAGCTTATTGCTAAGATATTCTCAAATGGTAGGTTCACTTTAAAACATTCACCTCAGAAACATAGCCGCCGCATATGCAAATAGAAATGCCGAGTCCAGCATACCGAGTAATGCTGGT